AAATAAAATTAAAGCCGCAAGCGGCGTCAAACGGCCCTCGCTGTACCGCGCAAAGGACGTGGTGCTGTCGCGCAATCTTCGTGCCGCCCTGATGGGAGCAACACTGTGCATTTGGAATAGCCATAATCAATGATAGTGAGTTTCTAGTGAAAAACTAAACCTCTTTCTCCCCGTGTAACACTGGACTCAGTCTGTAGGGGGCGCTGATTCTGCAATTTCATGTTTTACACTTTCAGTTTCCCCAACCTTAGAGTTGAACTCTCAAATACATTTTTTAGCAAATTGGACTTTGTATGTGCAATCAGCAGGCATTTACTTTGCACAATAGTGCCCCCTACAAATTAATGTTTTTTGTCTTACACCAAAGAACACCAAAAAAAACCAAATGTTGTGAGTTTTCAAGCATGTTCAATGGGTAAAATATTAGATCAAACAACAGAAAAAATAAATGACTGTATACCCATATAAAACTTTTCTCAGGGAACCACAAAACTTGCTGTAAATCTTATGTATGTCAACATTTAAAACAACTGAACTACTACAGAAAACTTGGGAGGAGACCTGCTTCAAACATTAACAATCAAAATTCAAATACTAATTAAGCAAATGCAAAAACAGTGTTGTTGTACTTTCAGGGTATTCATTTTATCCGATTGGGCTGGTCTACCACTGGAACAAGTGGGAGCCATAGACTAGACATAACCCCAGACATAACCAGTCTAGTACTCATGCACAAGGTTTTGCTCCTGCTCTCTCTGGCTCCCATTAGCTTACATGTAAAAGTAAACTCCCAGAGTTCACCAACTGTTTGTCAGCCATCAGATTCCTTCAATCGCTGGGAAACTCCTAGCCTGGCTTTGCCAGACCCTTGTAGTTCCGCCAAGCTCCACCAGAGGCGTTTGGCTGAACCACATGGGTCTGTTATCGAGCCCATGGCGAACGCCTTCCCCAGATTATTTTTTAATTGACCAATCAGGACTGCTGGTGTTACGTGGGGTTTGCACTGCCTTCTCAAGCTTCTCTCATGCAGCAGCGAGAGGAATCCAAGATGGCGGACGTAAAGTCCGCGAATCTTTTTAAAAGAGTAAATACGATCGAATTAAGACACGGATGTCACTTTTAATGCAATTTGAGGAGAGATGTTGATGGTTCTATGTTGATATATGTGTGTTTTAAGAGTCAAATGTTCCTGTAAAGTTTGGTTGAAGCACTGGTTCAGTGTTCCTGTTTACACACTATGCAGGAGGGTTGCCAGGTTTGGTGGTTCCCGCATATTTTTTTCCAAGAGACTTGTAGGTATTGAATAAACAGAAAGACAATACACATAATCATGATAGCCCAAGTTGATTACATTTCGTTTTTAGCCAAAACATCATTCTGAGTGTTATTTTTGGGTTGGAAAATCTTGCTGGGATTTGGCAACCTATGGGAGCCGTGTGCTTCAATGTGAGTGGTTGAAAGCAGACTGCATTCAAGATAACGGACAAGTCACATACAAGGATTTTTTTTACAAGGCCCTGCCTTCTGAAATCCAACTACTATGGCTCAGTACCAGACTCATGTGTGAAGTGCAGCGAACTACATGGGTCTGGCGAGAGTCAGGCTAGGAAACTCCAGTTTGCCTTAGCAACCATCTTAGCAACACAAAGCTAACCATGTCAAAATAAATGGCCATATAAGGAAATTGGCTACAGATTTGCTCCAAATACTAACATAACGCATGTGTGGCTCTCATGCACGTGCCCATGCACGTGCAAACACGGGAGCGTTCTGACCAATCAGGCGCTGCTGATCAGAGAGGAGCGGGAGGAAAACCCATGGGTGGGACAGTCATAAGCTAGTAACACCCCATCCAGTTATTATAATAGATCCATGGGTATGCCCCTGGGCTTGAGCCCCTGGTAGCCCTTTGGATATGGTGGCTATGGCACCAACCACCAATGGGTTTCAAAATGTACCCATGTGTGTTGAAGCATTGCACGACCTGCTAGGCCGCTCACTATTTTCCCCCAGTCTTTACAGGGAGGAATTTCAAATGGTTTAAGATCTTGCAGTGCAGACTGACATGCACTACTAATACTGCTCCTATTTGCCCCGCTGGCTCAGAGCTGGCTCCACTTGTGGATGTGGTCTGTGGCATTCAGACAGGTGGAGGGACCAGTGGAAACTCCGGCATGAGAGGCACAAAATGGCCCTCTCACACTTTCAGATGGAGCCTGATCCGTTATTTAGCCAGCCGCACTGGACGTATGGCAGCTCACGCTTCTTTGAAGGATAGAAATAGCTGTTATAGGGTCATTTGTTTGCCCAGGAAGATTATAATGATTATTTACAAGGATCCACTGTAACCACTTAGCTATTACTGACCTCAAATACAGCCACACAACTCTGAGGCCACAGTGGACCCTCCTCTGAAGCTGATGTCGGAAGCATACTCTTCCTGATCTTTAGAGGGAGACTCACGCTGGCTGGTCCGGGAACCAATGACTAACCGCAAAAAACTCCGTCTCTCTGTGTCTCTTGTCTCCTTCTTGATATCTCTCTGTGGTCCTTCCCTTCCTATAGTCTCACATAGGCTGTCTCTCCCTTGTCTTTCTACAAGCCTCAGTCTGGGTCTACAGCCTCAGTCCTGGTTCTACAGACTCATCCTGGGTCTACAACGCATCAGTCCTGGATCTACAGCTTAGTCCTTAGTTGTTTGATCTCAGCTCAGTCCAGGAGTTTCTCTCACTTTTTTCCTCGCTGTTTATCCTTTATTTAAGATTTGTTAATTGTTTTTTGTTTATCTGTTGGGATTCAGTGCGCTCACAAACATATTGAGTTGGTTTGTTCTTTGATCTCCCCCCCATACAAAGGCCAGTCAGCTCAGGCCCTACAGAAGGCCCGTGTCCCTGGGAAGCCCCACACAAAGCCTGTATGTGTACCCGTCTTGGAAAGGGACCCTTGACAAAAAGGATTACATATCTGACTCTGCGTAATAACCCACCCCCAAACCAAGCCCCAAAGGCCTCTGGGGGCAGCCTTGTTTCCCCATAATATGTTCTGCGATTTCCCCCACGGGACGACCCAGATCCTGCAGCCTGAGGGCCAAGCTGCTCATCTGCAAGGTTCCCAGGAGTGCAGAAGGAGTGTGGGCCATAGGGGGCGCTGTGTTCTGCTTTAAAAGCGGGACTGCAGTGTTTTTGGTCACATAGATGACTGTTTTTAGTTTTCGTTTGTATAATCTTTATTTGGAAGTGAGGCGTACAAATGGGAGAGGGAGTAAGAAGAGGCAATTGTACACCATGACCAAAAATGTAAATGGAACACAAACACATGCACTCGTATAATTACTAAAGAGGAATTGACAAAATGCATCACAAAACCAAACAATTTTTACATAGAAAAAGTAAATAGAATTTAAGTTTAGTAGAGTAGAGTAGAGAGATAAAGTATAGTAGAGAAGTGTTGAGTAGAGTAGAGTAGAGTAGGGTAGAGTAGAGAACAAAACCATGAAAAAGTAAACCATCGAAAACAACATTTTTTTTTACGTTGTCAGAACCAGTTTGAGCTCCACATTTCCCTACATACCAGTAATATAGTTTAACCCTTTAATCTTTAGCTCCTTGAAGAAAGCAAGATGATTTTATGTTTTCTTCGATAGGAGCGTGCACTATAAACAAAAATAATGTCAATTCAATTTTCTTTTTTTCCTTATTTTTAACCGCTAGTTTTTTCTTTTATTATAAGGCCTTGTACTAAATGGTTGAGATTGGCAGCTTCATGGTAAAAGGGCCTAGAAACAGAGATGCCCCAATGAGGTAGATTTAAGTTTCAAGCTTCAAGCAGTTATATAGTGACTTAAGCTGCACTAACTGACTTTATTTTTGGTATTCATTACGAAAATGCTATCCATGTCCATGTAGTGCATTGGGATATACGTCCTTTTGAAGAAATAATAGCGCAGATTTGTGCTGGCGGTGACATTATATTTTAGATCGAGTTTTGATGAAACAAGGAAGAGAATGTGTTTCGGGTCGCAGATTGGTGACCAATCACAAACGGACCACTGGCCCCCACTTTCGTGAGAAATCTACAGGTCCGTTAGCATAGACGGCTGAGTTAGCACAACAAGCCGAGGAGCTAACCTGAAGCTTCGTGTCTCAGTCACCGGTTACGGCTTACACAGCAAGACAGCCACCAAAAAGAAAGTCCCATTCCTCCGCGCTTCCCGGTTCTATCGTTTATGGTCACGCCATCCACGTGCAAATCCATATCCATGTAGTATCCATATTGGGAGACACTAGCTCCGTCCCAACAGTGAGTGTGTGTGGGGGGCGATAGCTTCGTGGGTGCGGGGAGGGGAGCAAAAGAGCGAGGCCAGCGAGTCTGCGGCTTCAAAATCCCAAAGTCAGATTAGTGCAGCTTTTAAAAGTGATTGAGCAAACCATTAAAGGGTTAAACAATTGTAACATATTTGGTATAAGGAGTTTTAAATGTATTCCCCTCCCCTGAGAGCTTTTTGCTTTGTAACTAAATTTACAAAGAGCCGCCGGTTCCCTCAGCGGTGAAACGGGAAGGCTCAAAATCCACCAGTTTCAACACGCTCTAGCCAGAGTTGATATTTACTAACCAAATCCGTTCCTACTTGTAATTGTGAGGCTGGAAAATTAGTCACCAGGAGGCCCAAAACTACAGGGCTCCAGGTCCACACAGAAGTTTCAGACACCTCTCACAACCGGGTTTTTAATAGAATATTGGTCTTATATACGCAAGAGGGCAAGTTGAAATGTTGTGGTTTTTATCTCCTGCCTGCAGATAGAGAACGGAAAGACGCTGGTGGCCGGCGGTCGCTATGACGGCAGAAGAGACTTTGCCGTTGTCGCTCAGACCTTTTCTTCAAAAACTCCATGGTTGCCTCTGAACGCTGTAAGATCTGCGTCCGGCGCAACAACTTGGGAACGTGACGAGGTCTCGCTCGCGCTCTCTCTCTCTCGGGGACCCTCTCCTGGATTTTTGTTTCAGTCGACGACCCGACACCAACCATACTTGCTCTGAGGACTGCTTTCCACTTTAGCGAGCGCGGGCATTCTGGCAATGGCCTCCGCGCTCTGTGGCACAACATGGTGAGGATTCCAATAAACATCGAAACATGTCTGTCCGGGACAAAAAACTTCTGTAATTTCCAGAATATAAGCCCATACGTTTTTCTTGTTATTTGGAACCCTGCGGCGCATCCAGCGATTGCGGCTAATATGTGGTGTGTTTTATTGTCGTCGATGCGAGTTGTCAGAGCAGAGTTTTATATAGACTTATTAAAATTTTGACTCCATCAAATTTTTAAGTGCTATAGGGACTAGTATTTTTTTTCATATTGGAGGTGGTGCGTCTTATATGCATGGTGCGCCTTAGAGTCCAGTAAAAAAAGTTCCTTTATCTTTTTTATTACATTCTATGCATATTCATAACACAACACACGCATACAACACATAAAACACAGACAATAATGACGAACAGTTCAAAGGCATTTCCTTCACAAGAAAAAAAACTACTCTTCTGGACCTAAAAGGTGCACCAGAAAGGTACTGTGGGTCTAATGAACTGCAGGGACATAGGCTCATGATAAAGAATTAGTTTAATTTAATGAAAGTAATAATCACTGAACTGTTGAAAACGGTGTAAAAAGATTTTACTACAGTCCTCAATTCAAGTCATTTTTGTATAGCAGCCGTCTCGGAGGCTTTACAAAGCTGTCGATTTCTCAACAACAGAATCAGAGAATCAAATGCTTTAAACACAGAAAGATAAAATCAAAACACATTGGAGCCATTGGAGCCCACAAGTGACCAATGCCCATATAATGTTAATAATTCTAGCGACATTTGAAATTCAGTATTCCAAGGCCTTGATAACACAAACATTAGAAAGATCCCTATATGCCCGTTTTTATTATAGCGCATTTCATGGACCAATACAATTTTTCCTGTCACTCCCATCATCTTTCCGTCACACATTTCATTACATTCTAACTTTTCGTGGATGGGGGGAAACAAGGAGAACCTGGAGGAGAACACAGGGAGAACACGGCAAACTCCAGAGAGAAATCAAACCCAGGACCTTCGAACTTTGATAGAACAAGCGCTTATCTGCCCAGAGCAACAGATCATTTAACCAACAACAAGTGAATAGGACTGTACATTTGAGCCTGGTTTCTAAAAAAGAAAACCTTAAAGGACTTTCAAAAGAGGTGTGAAATAGACCATAAAACATGTGACTAAAGCAAGTCGGAAAACAAGGACTTGGCCGCAGACCACAAGCCCCCCCCCCAGAGTATCCTGTGCTCTGATTCTTTCTTTAGGTACATTGTTGGTGACGTGCCTTCCAATGGTGCCAGTCTGGGAAAGACCCTCAGTGCGTCTTTGACAACTTTTAATATACCTTGTTGTACCCTATGTTTAGGTTTTCCAGCTGGAGCTGTGGGGCAAAGAAGCAGACATTCAAACAATGTCACACATCTGCTAGAAATGACATTAAGTGCCCCACTAAAGTGTGAGACAGTTCGATGTGTGTTTTGCCAGCTCTATTTGCTTTTTTAAAATACAATATCCCAAATGTATTTTATCGACACCCCAACAACTCCTGCATGCATCATATCTGATCGTTTAGCCTTTTATAATTGTTTGTTACTGGAGCTTTAATTATTCTGGAAACTGGATAAAAGCCTTGTCCCAAGTTAAGTGGATTTATCCAATTGCTTTGTCCTTTTGTTCACTCCTGCATTCATGAACAATACCTCTGCACAGTGTAGAGAGCTGAGGGAGCTCCTTCAGTGGAAGACTGAGACACCCTCAGTGTTGGACGCTACCGCAGGGCCTTTATCCCCACCGCTGTCAGATGTACAATAAGTCACTTTAAACTGATCACTGTGTGAAAACCTGCACTACTATTGACACTGTTTCCAATTGACACTTGTCACTTTTGTTGTACATAATTATTGTCACTTTAGTACATATATCCTGCATGTAACATGTTGCACATGTTCCTGCACAATTTCTCTATCCATTTGACACAATCTCCTTTGAGTGTAAAGCACATCTTATCCATGCTCAAAGAGTGGTCTGAGTGACAAAAATGTATTTCAGTAGTTTTTCTAAATGTATTGATCTGTTCCAGGATAATCCATTCATGTGAACAGCGTACCCTCAGAACCACCACATCCAAATCTGCCCCCCTGTGCCCACGCTCGCCCTCGCCTCCTCCGCTCCTCCCAGAGTGTGAGGGAGCCGTTGCCCGTGTTGGCTGTCGCCCGGTGCTGGCCGCTGCTGGCCGGCTGATCTGTGCTGTGCACATGGCTCCTCACCCTCTCAACTCGCAAGCGGGGACCAAAAAGACCAACAATCATGAAAACCCAACATGGAATGAAAGGGGGTAGAGGTCGGAGGGGCGGGGGTTAAGGCGGGAGGTGTAGTGGGGGGCGGGAAGGACTCAAGCATGAACGAAACCTCGTGTTTCTAGATTACGAGTTGTATTACAAAGTGAATATGAGCACTTATGCAGCTATAGCTGGTTTATCAGCGTGTGTAGGTGAGTATGATGTCACATGCTTCAAAAGGTTCGTTTTTCTTTATGTGTTAGCATATCCCATGCTAACTTAGCTTTAGATGCCAATGTATTTCTTACATAATGAACAACAAACAGCACTATTTCCATTTTTCAATGAATAATGGCGTACTTTGTATTGATTAAATAAATGTAATTTATGTCTGGTTTTGTTCTGAATAAAATTGGTTAAAAAGGACATAGTGTAATTGTTTGCATTTTTATTATGTAAACTACCACACAGAAATCAAAACCTTTTTTCATCCAGTAGTATTGAGCTAGTATTTTTACTTCTACAGCACCATTCATATGATGACCATGGATCTAAAACATAACCATAGACCGTTAAATAATAACATCCTAAGGATGAAACCGAAGGATTTAAGGAGAAATGACAAGGGACACTAAAATCCCCACAAAAATCCAACCTGTATGAAAAGCGGTTAGGTTCTCTGTCACCTCGAGGTCGAGCTGTTTTAAGTTTACATTGAGTTTCTATGGGGAAATCATCTGGGTGTAGCCCCGCGTGAATTTAGTCCTGCCTAGTACCGCGAGAATCCCACCCCTGGAGCGCATGGGTTCTTCAGCTCCAAGCAGTAAATACCGATCCAGTTATTATAATAGGGTATTATCTGTAATAAGCCCGAGTGAGTCGTTAGCAATTAGCCATTTAGCCTAAGCCCTCTCCTTTACCGCTAAGGGGAAGCCCGTGGGGTGTCGCGCCACAAGTTTTTCCGCGGATTACATTTTGCGAAACATTCCCACATTAATCTGGCTTTCGAAGTTTCTTGATAGAACCAGACCGGATTACTTGTACTCTCGCATTTTTCGCCATTCGCCAACCACAACCCTTTCCCTGTTCGACGCAAACTCGTGACGTCTACAACTAACTACAAACAACTCGCCTTCCGCACTCAACTGATTTGTTGGTCGCAATTTCAAGCAATTGTTAATCGCAAAACACCAGGGACCAGACCATGGGATCTCTAATAATTAATCTGGATAGGTGTATTACTAGCTTATAGCTGTCCCACCCAGGGGACAGGGTCGGCACTAGATCATGTACAGAATCGGGACGAAATCGGAAGTAACAATCCTACTTTCTAACTAGTTTTAGACTAAGTCCTTAAGTGGTGACTGTTTAAGTTTTAGGTGTCTGAGTAAAGATGGTTAGTTAGGGTTGGGTTAAGGGCTGGGCTGGGGTTATTTTATAGGGAATGGCTGGTGTTAAGTTTAGGCATGAATAGGTAGTTTGTTAGTATTTACTTCCGCTTCCGTATATGATCTAATGCTGACCCTGGGCCACAGGGGGCGCGTGTGGTACTGGCAGAGCTAAATTCAGGTGGGCCACCCCATGGATCTATTATAATAACTGGATAGGGTATTACTAGCCTTGGAGCTGAAGAACTCATGTGCGCTGGGGGATTCTTGCGATACTTTTTGGCAGGGGGACTAGACCAGAAATTCACATTCACATGATAACTTCACATGGGCTACCCAGACATTTTCCCCATAGAACTCAATGTAAATTAAAACAGCGCGACCTCAGCTGACAGTGAGAACTCTACAGCATTTTCATAAAGGTCGGCGTTTGTGGGGATTTTTCGTGTCCCTTGTCATCCCTGCACTTTTTTTTTCTTAAAGGAAGCTATACCCAATTTTTTCTTTTCTAAGTAAGTGATAAAAATGCTTTATTATCCATACACGTTGTATTATAAGCTGGTAATTTTAATTTGAAAAGTTGAGGTAATTGATTCAGCTGTTTGTAAGATTTACAAGCAGTTTAAAGAAGCATAGAACCCGAATGTTTTTTCTAAAGTAGTTCATAAAAATGCTTTTTACTTACAGTACAAGTTGTATCAGAATACAGCGATTTAATTGAAAAACTTGAGGTAATTGATTCAGCTGTGTTAAGGGCAAGGCGAAGGCTAGGCAAGTTTATTTATATAGCACACTTCATACACAAGGCAATTCAAAGTGCTGAACAAAACAAGAAAGCATTAAAATCATAAATTATCACAGAACATTAAAAAGAAAGATAGAAATATAAAATCCCTCAGTTGTATGCACAAGTTAAACAGAACTGTCTTTAACCTGGTTTTAAACATTGTCAGAGAGGAGGCCTGTCTCACATCTTCAGGAAGACTGTTCCAGATTTTAGCAGCATGAATCTGAAAAGCAGCCTCCCCATGTTTAGTTCTGACTCTGGGCACTAACAGGAGTCCAGTCCCTGTGCTCCTCAGAGTCCGGGCTGGTTCATATGGGACTAACATGTCACTAATATATTTTGGTGCGAGGCTATGGAGAGACTTGTACACAAGCAGAGCTGTTTTAAAGTCTATTCTCTGAGCCACAGGAAGCCAGTGCAGAGACCTGAGAACTGGACTAATGTGGTCGTACTTCCCTGGTTCTAGTCAGGACTCGAGCTGCTGCATTTTGAATGTACTGCAGCTGTTTTACAGCCTGTTTGGACAGACCTGTGAGCAGGCCATTGCAGTAGTCTAACCTACTGGAGACAAATGCATGGATAAGAATCTCCAGGTCTGCTTTAGACACTATGTTTTTGATCCTGGCAATGTTTTTTAGATGGTAAAAAGCTGCTGATGTTACTGATTTGATGTGGCTATTAAAATTTAAGTCTGAGTCCAGTATTACCCCTAGATTTCTGACCTTGTTTGAAGGTTTTAGGGAGAGAGACTGAGGTGACAGATGACGCTCTCTCTTTGTTTCTGGGGACCAAAGACAATCATTTCAGTTTTGTCTGCGTTTAGCTGAAGGAAGTTGTTTTGCATCCACTCACTGATCTGTTGGATACAGTGAAGGAGTGAGTCCACTGGTCCATGTTCTCCTGCAGTCAGTGAGACATAGATCTGAGTGTCGTCTGCATAGTTATGATAGGAAACTTTGTTTCTGCGTATTAACTGACCTAAAGGCAGCATGTAGAGATTGAACAGAAGAGGTCCCAGGATCGACCCCTGTGGGACTCCACAGGTCAGGGCCATATGATCTGAGACACAGTTTCCAATCTCCACAAAGTACTTCCTGTCTTCAAGGTAAGACCTAAACCAACTTAGGGCGGTGCCAGCGACTCCAACCCAGTCCTCTAGTCTCTGTAAGAGGATCTCATGGTCGCGGTGCACTTAGTAACCTTAACGAGAGCAGTCTCAGTGCTGTGGTGGGGTCTAAAGCCGGACTGAAACATATCAAATGAGTTGTTGATTATAAGAAATCTAGTAAGCTGTAGGTAGACAACTTTCTCAAGGACTTTCCCCATAAATGGCAGATTTGAGATGGGACGATAGTTGTTAAGTACCGTAGCATCGAGACTGCTCTTTTTTAGCAGGGGCCTGATGACTGCAGTTTTCAGGGCCTTTGGGAATATTCCAGAATGAAGGGACATGTTTACTATCTGTGTGAGTGAATGTAACAGACTGCTCAGAACAGACTTTAGAAATCTAGTGGGTAGTACATCCAAGCTGCATGTGGAGGAGCTCAAACTGGAGATTATCTCTTGGACAGTTTTATCATTTACAGGTGCAAAGTGAGTTAGCTCAGAGAGCCTTTCTGGCTGTTGGATGGTTATCTGTGGATTGGAGACAATGGCGTTTTTGATGCCTTGAACCTTGTCATTGAAAAAATGAGCAAACTCATTGCATTTACGTTTGGAAGTAAGCTCTAATGGCATTTGAACAGGGGGGTTTGTTAATCTATTAACTGTTGAGAACAGAACACGCAGATTGTTGCTGCAGCCTTCAATCATTTCAGAAAAATACCTTTCTCTCGTACTACGTTGCACCCGGTTAAACTCGCACAACTTATCCTTGAATATCTCGTAATCAACCTGGAGGTTGGACTTGCGCCACTTCCGCTCGGCCCTCCGGCACTTTCTCTTTTGTGCCCTGACCGAGTCTGCTTGAGCCCACGGCGCCTTCTGCTTATTTTTCACTATTTTAACCTTCACAGGGGCAACGGTATCCAGAACATTCAAAACACTAGAGGTGACAGAGTTAAACAGTTCATCTACAGTAGAATACGATGCATTCTCAAAGTTTATCATTCCCATAAATAGTTCACTCGTATTTTCATTTATGCGCCTTCTTCGAACAGTTGCAGAGTCCACTGGTGGTTTGTTAGTGAAACACATGTCAAAAAAAACACAGAAATGATCCGAAAGAGCAACATCGACCACGTTTACATTTGAAATATTCACCCCCTTTGTAACTAACAGATCTAGAGTGTGCCCTTTGCTGTGGGTGGGGCCACTTACGTGCTGAGTGAGATCAAAGGATTCAAGTACAGAACTCAGCTCATTTGCATTTCTGTCATCAACATTATCCACATGAATATTAAAATCACCTGTAATAACAATGCCATGAAACAACAACGTTTCATGGTAACTTCCGGGTTTTTAGCAATCGCTTTTTGTCACATTGAAACAGTATTTTTGTCATGAAAACGTTAACAGCAAATTCTGAAATCATCCCTGCATGTGTGTTAAGGATGTATATGTATACTGTATTGTCCGATTGACGTTTAATGGTGTTGATTGATAGATATGTAGTTGTTTATTGAGCGTGGCTAGCTCCGCTAGCTCCGTTGGCTTCTCTACACAGACGAGTGTGTAGTGACAGGTGCTGATAGCTTGTTGTAAGCTACTTGCAGAGTAATGGCAGTATTTTACACACCTGAATTACAAACAGAGGTTGCATTGGGGCTTCGGTCATTATTGGTTTGAGAGTTCTGTTATCAAG